AAAAAAAAAAAAAAAAAAAAAAAAAAAAAAAAAAAAAAAAAAAAAAAAAAAATTAAATATACACTGATACACTCAAAACGAGTTATTTTAAAACATTTTTCGTAATTAAATGATAAACACACAGTTAGTGTAACATTGCACACACAAAAGTCAGTAAAAAATGTCTCAGAAAATTACACACGCTCTTAGATTTGCAGTGCCACACCTTAGCCATAAAGAACCCTATGATAGTCTGTGATGAGGCTTTGCCGGCGGCCATTATTCATGGCAGACTTAGTAACAACCGAAACTTTCAAGATCATTATCAAAATCTACGCTGAGGGAAAAAAATAATTTCTTTGCTAAAATTGTAATATGGTGCTGTTTCGTTACTCAGATGCTTTAGACTGTTTGGAGCAGCTATTTTTATTGTTAGTACAGTGGCTTTAACGCTTTTTAATACTACCCAGTAACTCAGTACAGTTGCCCAGAACAATAAAAATAAGATTGCCAAAAGTCAGTTCCTAGGCAGCAGAATGATACCAGATTACAATTCTAGCAATTTCTATTATTTTTTTCTCAGTGTATCAAAAATTTGCTAACGTCAAGGTTAGAAAGCACTCTTTCCCATCAAATTTCGATATAATTCAAGAATTAAAAAAACAGAAGAACATTTCGATGGTTTTAACGGACATATGCCATTGAATTAAGTCAAAGACAAGTTCCTAAGAAGTTGATTTGATTTTTAGATCCATAAAAAACTGTTTGTGTTAGTTTTTATAGTTTTTTACATAGTTTTAGCGTAGTCACATTAAAAGTAGATTGAGCAATTTCCGTAGATCTTTAAAGTAATAGGATATTAATCATTGTATAAAGTCTGCTTGGATAATGTAAAAAATCTTCTCGACTGAGTTTGAAGTGTATTTTTTAAAAGGGCATCGAACTATTGGCATTACAAAAATTTAATGATTACGGAGAATTCAGAGATCACACATTTTCGTTGAAAAATAGAATTTACACAGACAATGTGATGCAGCTGAAGTTTCACTAAAGAGCTATTAAAAGTTCAGATAAATTATTTAGCTAATATAGGCTTGCGATGAATTTGCAAAGCTACAATTCACCATGAGTATAATGCAAGAATTGGAAATCACGACGATGACAAAAATAGTTTCATACGAAGCTCTTAAAATAAGGGAATTTAGATCGAAATAAATGGCTCCGCAAAACCAAATCACGGACTACTTCAAAAGTTTAAAAGAAAATTTTCTAACTGATGAGTAATAAAGTTGTAGGAAAATTATTTGATTAATCAGAAAATCTGATTGTTTTGCTAAAGTAGTAAATGTTTCGCAAAATTTTTTTGGTATTGGTCATAGTTTGCTTTATTTTTTATGTATAAAATTTACACTTAAACGGATTATAGACGCAAATGAAGTTTTTAGATTTGAAAAAAAAAAAAATCCATTTGTAGTACTTTTAGCAGCTTTCGTCTTGTTAATACTCGAGGTTTTTAAAACTACGTAGCTAAGTTGTTTTGATTTTTTGTAAGGATAAAAAACGAGATTGCGGTAAGTTCCCTCGTTATACTTGTAAAAAGGTAAAATAAATTGTTTAAAATGCAAAAAATGTCATCAATAAACGAAGTTTGGCTTATAATGATATTTTTCCCAGAAGTTTTTGACACTCAACATTTTAAGATATACTTTGGTATTCTATGCAACCATGAGTAGTGTAAGCAATTATATACATCAAGTGAAATGATTAAATCTACCTGTTGACCGATTGGGTTGGTTGACTGATGTGGTTAGGTGAATCGGTTAGGTATACGAGCAAGGGCGTCGAGAGATATGTTCATCTCCAATCCCTCAAAGTCAAAACAACACGGTGACGTAGGTATAAGCAGTTGGTATGTATAGGTGAAAGCGCACTTACATGTCATACATCGTGAAAGGAGGTACAGCCAGCCAGCGTGCGGTGGTCGAGAGGGGACGCGCCGTTGTCGTCAGCGGCGGGCGGTAGTGGCAGCAGCGCTATTGGTCGGCGCGTGGGAGAGCCAAGAGCTCCCCGCCCGCCTTGGTTAATGCTCTCGAACGCTGGCTCGACAGTCAGCAGCTCGCCGCCGCCGGAGAGCCTCAGTTGCTTTTTATAAAAGAAAAAAGAGGAAGAAAAACAGATTCTTACCACAGTGACCTTACCTATAGCTAGTTGTTGTAAGCCCTGTGGTAAAAATTGCGTTAGTTCTTTAGTGGTGCAGAAAAGCGGGTCTGGTTCGAGTAACAAAGGTTAACCAGAGATTCACGCGAATCGTGGCATGGCAGGACGCGAGCCCGCAAAGGCCAGTCGCGTGCCATCGGCGGCCCAGGCGCTCCGCAGCGCGAGGGCCCAGCCAAGGCCAGCGCAACGAACAGCCCTATCTGCTACCCATTGAGAAAGCTGAGTTGTCCAAGCCCGAGTGAGTGTCGAGTGTGCTGTGAGTGCGGATATAAATTAAGTGCGCGGGCGCGCGTGCGTGCAACACAACGAACCGTGAACGCTGTAGCAATATAGCTGTATCGGCGGCAGCGTAGCTCCGTCAGAGACCAGAGCTGATCAGCAGCGCCCTGGGCCAGATACCGGCTACGATGCCGCACGTCAGTAGTAGCGGCGGTGGTGATGACCTCGGCAGCGAAGATGAAGTCAAAATTTTCAAGGATGAAGGGGAAGACGAGAAACGCTCTTCAGAAAACCTTACCGAGGAAAAGAGCTCACTTATCGATCTCACAGAGTCAGAGGTGCTGTGCTCCCGTCTGCTAATGGTCCCTTCCTATTCTTATCTCGTTTTTTTTTTTTCTTACGACAGGCAGACCAAGCGTTTGGTATAACACGACAACAAAAGCGTATCGCGTAACGGTCTGCATATCCCCGATGATACATCCCGATTGGAAATGAATATAGTGGGTTGCCCACTCAGATCGTGTGGTCCAATGCAGCCAAATTTAGAAGCAAGTATTAGGTTCGTTCAGACCCCTTTTAGTTCAGTCCGGTTCTCTTAGCAAAGTATATCTATACATAGCGAACCAAACAGAACTGGTTCTATATCAAAGTATATTTTGCTAAGAGAACCGGACCGCACCAAAAGGGGCTTAAACAAATCTATTATGACGCAGGATTGGGCATAGCTTGACCTCACTGAGCCTATACATGCAATGAGACCAGCAATAATTTCGCCCAGCCGTGGCTCGATTTCGTCTGCTTTTACACTTTGGGAAAATACCGATCGAATCCCCTCCACTAGATGAACAGACATAATCTCTCTATGACTGGGGTGAAGTAAGGCCAAGACAGCTGGCCCCAGTCTTCGTCATGTTAGAATCCGATTGTGATCCGTGGAAATAACTGAGCCATGTCCTTATTTGACGGCTTGGTAACCCGGCTTGAGGCAAACTCGAGCCCACTTAACATTTCCTATTAAGATTACATACAAGCCGACAGCAGTCACTTGCAAGTTTACTGCACAAAAGTCGGCCGCTTGATCTGCCTTCACGCCCCCCTCCTTTTTTTTAAGTACCTCGTGATCTAAGTATATCATGTCAACTAGTACAACCACCCTGCTACCTCTTTTCCTTTGCTGTAATCGTTTTAGCCAACGCTCTTAACAATACCTTCTATCAAAGCAATGTACATCAGCAAGTATACTGTACAACTGTTATTGATGTCTTATACCTACTACGGGTGCTTGTATATGTGTGTTACAGGAAAAGGTATCTCTCGTCAGTGGAAGCTACTCGACAACAGGCAAGACGACGGCCCGATCTGACCTTAGTCCGGTCTTTGGTGAGTTTGTTTATTTTTTTTCAACTCCGCAAACTGTATCAATTTTTTTTACTTTCGTTCTGTTGGAAGAATATAGTAGTAGGCATTGAGCATCATTGATTAGGGCATTTTTTTAAAGGGGCACATATAATTACACAGTATGTAAATATATCATGATTTTATGCATATGCTTGGAGAGAATAGTCAAGGTCGTGTCGATAGGTACGAGCATGAATACCTACGCGTTTGAAGCTACGTTTACACTTCAAACTATTATTTTTACGCGTGTACTTGAGGAATTCTATAAAAAAATCTGCCATTTTCAGTGTCAAAAATAAGGTAAAACTTTTAAGTAAGTACATATCTGGAAATACGTTTCTGTATATGTGCATACGTACATATATATNACTAAAATTGAATCATATCACTGAAGAGAAAGAGCTATAATTTTGTTATTGATCAGTAGTAGTCAATTATAGTTAAGTTTTCATTTACAGTTTTTAACATAAATCACAGATATAATATTTAAGCAATTTTACAAACATATTATTTATGATCACAATAGTTTAATACTTTTGATTAACATTTTATTTGAAAAAAACGGGTAGGCTTATATATATATGATTTTTAATTTTCATCCTTTCTACACTCAACATCAGCTTAAGGCACGTCCATTAGATTGAATGATGCGTTCATTTTTTGGGCTGTCATCCGTCGGCCGAACATCTTCAGCGCTAGCCAGTGAAAGCTATATTTAAGAATGGGTATCAGGGCGATGGGGGGAGTTTCAAGGTTAACAATTTGGTATATGAGTCATGTATACGTATAAAATGCGAGTAAAAAAATTGCAATCCCACCTCTCTTTATCAACATCTTGGTTACGTCACTGATGCCTACGTACTCATACATGCTTTTACTTAACTCGGCACGGATCTGAGTCGTGCGGAGTACGAAGCTATGCTTGTTTAGTTTTTGAGCTCAAAATCTTCATTGAACTTATTGTATTCGTGTATAAATTATACTATTAAAAATTGTGCTAAGTTTAATGTACATCCATTAGTTTTTTGTAATCAAGTATAACTGCATCTACAAATACGTAGGTATATCTAACAGTGTACATACTTATCTGGAGTCAGTACACTATGATATTAAAAAAAAAGTTGTAACAAACATGTAGATGTGCTTCTAAATTGATGCAAGTGTGACACGTTTTTTAAAAGTTTTTTTTACCTGTACATACAAGTAAAACAAAAGTATAAACATACACACGGTGGACATATTTATCAGCCTGCGAAGACAGACTTCGATAAGTGACAACAAAGTCGCAATCTCACTCAACGCATCTTCGTTTTGCAGTATATAGTGTTTACGTGACATGTCAAAATTACGTATTGGGAGTCTAAAAGGTCACGTTATTCTCGCGGTATATATAGTCACTTGGGGGAAAAATAACACAGGCTTTGTAGGTGCAATTCTATTTTTTTTTTTTTTTACACGTTCAACGATTGTAATACGATAAAAGCCTTTCAATAACATATTTTTGAGGAGATGACAATATCTTAGCTATTTTTTTCCAACTCAATTAGTCTTTTGCTGATTAAAACCAAAATCCTGCTTGTTTTCCTACATATAGTCGGGAACAAGAGAACTTTGTACAGGTTAAATGTGCGTTTTCTTACCTTCAAAGGAAAGTTTTAAGCTGCAAAAGACTAATTGAGTTGGGAAAAAATAGCTAAGGTATTGTCATCTCCTCAAAAATATGTTATTAAAGGGCTTTTATCGTATTACAATCGTTGAACGTGTAAAAAAAAAAAATAGAATTGCACTTATAAGGCCTGTGTTATTTTTCCCCAAGTTACTATATATACCGCGAGAGTCACGTGACCTCTTGGAATCCCAATAAGGTTGTATAATTTTTTCTGAATGAATGTGCACATTTCTTAGTTCTCATTAAACTTTACATAAAACTACATGTCTTTTTAGTACCATTTAATTTCTTCGTTATTTTATACACCATATTTTTTATATAACTCATTGCATTGACTTTTTAATAGTTATTCTACTTTTTTTAAATTTATCAAGCTCAGAAATATTATTTATAACGATTTACACGTTTAAAAAACAATGTTTTTGGTTTTCGTTGGGTTCCAACTTTAAACTTTAAGATACATAATATAGATGGCTCTATTATTGAGTTTGTTTGTACAGTATTAAGTGCATTCATTATTATTGCAAGAATAATGATAATAGACGAATTCATAATTGAACTTTTTTTTCTGTTAGCGAATGAAGTTACAAGCCCTACAATGGTCTTAACATTGAAATAAATATCTTCTTTCTAATGTTGAGAACATTATGAAAAATTTAATATAAATTACTATTAATTTATTCGTATGATTTCTTAACGAAAAGTATATTATTTCTCAAAATTTATGTAATACTTTATTTTTATCTATTAAAAAACGGGTAAATAACGACAAACTTATTTTCTGTGATCAAGAAGGTAGACTAAATCCATATAATAATAGACGCGATTAAAAGTTTTCAATTCTATTGGCAATTTCTGATGTAATAATTTAGTTTTTGTTAGTTGCATTTGTTTTGAATTTGTAATTTTATGTTTTCATTTATAACAAACTTACACACAGAATTTATCGACGATTTCCAAATTTCAAAAAGATAATGGTTTTTGTTAGGTTTTAAGTGTGAAACATGTTACATATATGGTAAATGGCAAGATAATTTGACTATTTTCTATAGTGTTAACGCTTGGCTGTGTAATTCAAGTTTGAAGCCAGTAAACGTGCAAAAAATAGAAGCACTCATATACTTGCAAGAATAGTGACGACAACAGACACACATTGTTACCGCAAATTTTTGTTTTATTAATCTATTGAATCATGAAGCTTACAAATCTCAGCATTAAAACAAATTTCTTTATGTTTTATGCGTAATTAAAAATGGAATATGTGTTTCTACTATTTTTCGTACAGTTTTTTAACAAAACCTGCTAGGACAAACAAGTTTACGTATTGTAAATAAATTTACTCTATTATGAAAAAAGGTGATACCTGTGTGATTAAGTTTATTTTCATCCCAACGAAAAAAATGTAAATAAAGATATAATATCTAAGTGCAATGTAACACAGACAATATAACAACATAAATGTTAAACTCAATAATGTTCAAAGCATCAATGATTGGATCTTGAATAAATATAAATAATATTCAAATGTGTCTCAATAATAGAATTACAAAGATTTTTCTTATTGAACCGGTAAATACTGTTAGTCCATCAACTTTTCAACACAGAAAAATTAATACAGTTTATGCTATATACAACTAACTTTTACTTAAATTATGATTTCATAATTATACGTATACATTCGACGTCACAACTAAACGATTAATAATATACTAAGGTCTTGAAAATATGGTTATATGCACTATTTAGAGTATTGTATTAATTTTAAGTTGAAAACTATAGTCTCTACTGTAGTGTGGCATAATTATATTGTTATATTGTTGAAAACGTACTAATGAACCGTTTAATATCTTCCATAATTTTAATGCAGCTATAATGCCAGAGATTGCCAAAGGTAATTCATCAATATTTGCGTAATACAAATAAAATACTTAATAAAAATTCTAAGAATAGTTCTTATGATTGTTGGTTTGTAGGTTCCTACACAGTATTCTTTGTGCCCTCGACGTGCATGCGCATTATATTTTTACACTATCTTTTCTATCAAGTGCACAACAAAAGTCCAATTGCTATAAAAAGCGTGTGTGTGTGTATGTGTGTATATATATATAATAGACAAGCACATCTACTGCGAACCCTGTACTAAACTCATAAAAGGCAAGCGTAGCTAATTTGTAGTAAACTTCTTATGAAATAAATAATTTTGTAGAGCCAAGAGATCGAAAGACACACATGGATGTGGTACCGTCATTGACGGTACAATAAAACTGCAGGGATTATTAGGGCACTTGATAGTAATAAAAATAATTCTAATATCTTTAGCTAATTGTAGTTACTTTTCAGTGTAATTATTTATTTTCATTAGAAGCTACATATCGTTACTTATGTACAGATGTGCTAGTGTTATGGCAACGTATCCCATCTTTCTGACATGCCAAACACATAAGAGCATATAATTGCAGGGACATTAATAAAGCTATAATTTTCATCATGTAGAGGTAACATTATAAGAAATCGATAGTCAGGCCTATGAGAGGAATATAGCGAATACTAGATTGTTAATCTGTTACTTTGAAGAGTTGACACGTTTAATACTTGATTTTGTATCTTAGTTACTGTGATCGTTATACGGAAATAGATACTATAGAGCTTACACTGAAAAAAGTGGTGTTAAAAAAGGTATTATAACTATACTAAGAATTACTACATTTTTTAGGAAAGCTAAAACATACTCACCTAATGACGCAAATCATAACGTTAACAATAATTTTTAATACATTTTAAATAATAGCAGCCCTACAAAAATTATTACATGTCATGATAAAAACTACTATGTCTAACATGGTAAAAATTGTGATAGTATAATTTTTGCTGTGCAACATAGTAAATTTTATTGTAATCGTTTTAAAATGTCCAACATTCTAAAGTAGAATTTGCTATGTAATCCATTCCACTGCATTGCTATTCAGTATATTAAAAATCACTATGTTCGAAACTAATTTTATACGATGCCTATAGGCATACACGCCTGTAGAGTTTTAAATTTGAGGTTATACTAATATAATCATTACGAGAAACATATTTTTTTATTTATAAGGGTTAAAAATTGATACGTACAGACAACTAATTTCGAATGGACTAATTATCCGTTAACACCGTAATCTACAACCCTTTGGTTTTAACTTTATTGTGTCCCATAAACAGTACACGTTCCCACAACATGTACTTTATCCATGCTTAAGCAAACATAATATACCGTGGTATAGTGGTTACGGAGCCTGATATGGGAGCCAAAGAATGGAGGTTCAATTACCGG